CAACCAACTTTAAATCTGTGTTTCCCACTGTGGGAAAACTAATAGGGAAGAGTTTTTACAGATACCCACCACGCACACATTTGTGCACCACTTCACTTGCTGGTGACTTAGTTTCATTCTGCAAACGGGCCTTTTTGTGGAGCAGACGCTGGCAGATGCAGGAGGGTTCTCCAGGATCCGATACCCTTCCTGGTGTGATCCTTCACCCCACCCTTCGTAGGAAGACCTTGGAGGACCCGCGTGTTTCTGTTACACACAATGAATAATTTACAAGGCACGGCTGGTGGAATAAACAAGCCCGCCTGCTCTGCCCAAGCGCTCAACTGCTTGTCTTAAATTTCCCTCACTTTGCTAAATCTCCAGCTCTCCAGAGCTTCGGCCACATTCAAAGGCCTTTAAAGGAGAGGCCTGTAAGGGAGAGCAGGGTGGCATAGCCCAGCAGCAAACAGCACTCACAGCAAGAATTCCCCTTATCTCCGAGCAGGGCATTGACTCGTACAAACTCTAGGTAGGAAAGCCACTGGCAAAGCAATCTCGGATGTACTATTTACCCAAGAGGAGACATTTCACTGGAAAACAAGCCACAGGATCTGTTGACATCCTGATGTGGAGGACAGCGCTCATTCATGCAGATGCAGGCAAAGGAATAGCAACAGAATGTGGAAACTTTCCAGCATTTCCAAGCAACAAAGCTGTGACTGCGCAGGAACGTGCTTGTGCTGGCCGTCACCAAACAGCTATGAGAAGTGGATTTCAGGCTTGTCCTGACAGAGTCCTGCTGCATGGCACCAGCAGTCACTTAGCTTCTCAGCTCCATACGTAAAATAGGGCTGCAAATATACGGATCCTGTAGGAAACGGCCAATCTGGCAACAAACATTCCTGAGACACTGCAATAAGTAGCCAGTGATGCCTCATTCTCTGGCAAGGGAAGGTGGATACCATGAGCTATCCTGTGAATACAAACCACAGTTTTGGATCCCCGGTAACAATTCCTGTAAAAGCTTCTCCACCTTTTCTCCAGGCAGGGCTGAAACCAGGCAGGTGCAAAGCGAACACCAGGGTCCTTTTTATCTTTAACCCTTTGCCCATGAGCAGAAAGAGTTTGGAGCCGTAAAACATGTGCTCCCTTTTGCAGCTCCTAGAAATCACCATGGCCCATGATTTCATTTTATGAAACGTTTTTGGTCAGATCTGTAAACTGCTGTTGAAGGCAATGTGTGCAGAGCTTGCAGGACGCCCCTGTTTATCAACCATGAGGCTGCGGGTCAGTATCTCACTAAGATGATCCAAGCACAGGTTGTTACTAGGGGGGCAATTCCACCTTCCCCCACCTGTGTGGTGGCTTCTTCCTTCCTCAGGCCATCACTGTGACCGGGCTAAAAAGGATCTTTACTTCAGGCAGGGTAATTTCAGCTGGATCAGCTTCCATTCAGTGACAGCAGCTGTAGCGCTGCCACAAAGCAAGGGCCAGGAAAAAATCCTGGAACTGTGCCGTTAAGAACTTGCTGTAAAATCACGTAGTTGCAAACTCTGGGTCATTTGTCTCTAGAAATAGTGTGAATTTATAGTCACAGTTAGGAAAGTCTCCTGGGCTTCAGCATGGTGGCTCTCTTTATAATATGCCAAATGCAAACTCCTGCACCTCAAATGTACACAGCTCTGAGGGAAGTCTGGAACTGGTTATGGCTTTTCAGTTTGGATCACATCTAAATGGTTATTCATAGCTGGCTGTGAAATTGCATCCATATCATATATTTATACCCGTACGGAAACAAGTCAGTGGGGCTACCTGGGGGCCCAGCCTCAGGCTCCCAGAGCCCCCCTCCTTGCCTGTACAGTCTGTACAATCATCCTTCGAGGTTTCCAAAACACACAAGGCAGGGCCTTGAGCAACCTGATCCCCCTTTGAAATGAGCAGGAAGTTATAGCAGAGACCTCCCAACCTGTATTACTCCATGATCATCATCCTCAGCTGCATTTTCATCAGGCTTTGCTACACCCCTAAAAGTCACAGATCACCCGTCTGTCCCTACCCTGACTAATCCAGCACAGAAGTCAGGGAATCTGCGTCAACTGCCTCTTCATGGCGTTGGCTGTGCTAGTTCAGCTCCCTGCTGTGCTCCTGCTCCTGATCTGCCTCGTTACAGTCTCAGAGAAGAGCGGAGCTCGTGGTCATTGCAGGGAAGGCTCCTCAGCACATGGGAATGAGCTTTACGTTATCAAAGCAACTGGCCCAGTCTGGCGAGCGTCCCACCACAAAGGAAACACAGAGCATCTCCTCGTCACCACCACTGGATGAGCCAGGGTTTTTTGTTGTTGTTGCTCTTCGTGTCTGGAAACGTCATCGTTAAGGTAAAAGTGACACTGAGAAGCAAGAGAAGGGAATGTGGGTCATGGAGCCACATCCCAGGCTCTGGGAATACAAGGTTGCTGCCATCTCGTGGCCGGCTCTGGCTGCGCAAAGGTCCCAGAGGACCAAGCAGGAAAATACATCAAGATAAAGCTCCTCTGGAAGGGGACCTCCACTGAAGGGAACAGGGAGTAGACAGCTATGGGTGAGCGGGCACCAACGAGGTCCTCTTTCCTTGTGTCCAGCCCGGGAAACGAGCCCGAAACCCCTTCGGCCTCAGGGGATGCTCTGAGCTCTGCAGCCACAGCATTCACCAGGGAAGAGGCCTGGGGAAGAAAGAAACCTGCCAGGCCATTTGGTATTTCCAGGCCATTTTCTGATTACAATTAGGCTTTCCTCTTTCTGTGGTAAATATTGTGGCTCACTTCGCAAAAGCTGAAGCAAAATACATAAATGAGACCCCTCCAGAATGCTTCAGGCAATGGGGACACGACTGCTGAGTGACCTGTGCAGTATCCCGGGTACACAGGGAGTTTCCTGTAAAGATAAGATTACAAAGGAGTACTTATTTATCTAGATACTTATTCAGCTTTCATCTCTGGCTGCGTTTCTCAATCAGCCATTTCAAAATGTTTTGCCAAAACTGATTAACTCTCACAGCTCTTCTGCAGCAGGTATCAACGTTCCCACATCACTCAAGGAAGGAACAAGGAGTGGAGACATCAAATAATCCCACCAAGAAAGAAATGGAGAGCGCTAAGAAATAAGAAATCACCAAGAAATCCCAATCCCACGTCCTAACTCAACTACTCTCCACAGGCACCTGAAACCACAACCATCTTTCTGTTGGAAGCACATATGGTAATCTGTAAATCTTATCATGCAAGCTGCCTGCCTCAGATACGCGCCAAGAAAACTGTCCAGACATTCAATAACCTCCACAAATTTGGTGCCCTGGAGCTACATTATACAAGGAAATCGCTTCCAAGCTGCGGCACTAGTCAGTCCCACAGCCAGTGCCACCCAGCAGACTTTCCCATGATGTGCAGGTGACAGCTATTCCATTCATTAACCAAGCCCATGGTGGCTAGGAATAGATCCCAGGAGTCCTCCTGGCCTTAAAAATTTCTTTGTCCTCAAGGAAACACAAAGCCCAAATGGCTTACGGTATGTGTGGGGTACAAACAGGGAACCAACGCATTGAAGAGCAGGTACATTCCCAATAATTCACAGATGACACCTCTGCACCTAAAATAAGCTTTGTTCTGGTTTCAGGAAGTGTGCAGTCAGAGTGGTGTAGACAGCACGATGTATCTATAACTGTGATGCCAGAGATCATGCCTAACAGTGCTACAGCTGTACAACTCTCTAGGTTTGTTATATATTTCCATGAGTGCTCCATGTTATCACTGCTTCAGATCTGCCATTCTGTAGTAAACCTCTGTTTCTGAACAAAGACCACCTGAAGCTATGCCTTTAGAAAAATGCATCTCAAGCACAATTTATTTTTTTTTTTTTTTTTTTTTGCAATCATTCTGTTGCCTTATTTTTGATACATATTCCCCAGTACGCTTGGGAAATTTCCCAAAACATACTAAAGATAGCACCATGTTTTTCTGCATCACTGCTAAAAGTTAAAGCATTCATGTGCAAAATAAAGAGAAATTTCTTCATAAGCATTTTGCCTTCTGCTGCTGAATCCAGTCTCTTGAGAATGTGCAATTATGGAAAAGAACTATAACAATCAAATGGGAGTTTGCACTTAGGAAAATCATGCTACTTATTGTGTGACTTATTCAGAAGAGAAAGCTGCTTGGAAATATATCAGAAAATGAAAGAAACTGCTATATCAGACAGCTCAAAATGCATTGATACAAAATCTAAAGAGCCTAAAGAAGAATATCATCCATTGGAAACTGTTTTTCCTCTTTTCAGAAACAAGATGGAGAGAATATGTGACTTAGAGATCTTTCCTTCCCTGGAAAATGAACTATTTTTTTCAGCTCATATTTTACCGAACCATCTGTAGAAATATATGTTACTACAGAACATAATATTTAGGTTTCCATAGCACAGTTCACATGGAGAACCTCCAGTAAATGGCAATTCATTCACCCGTATCACAGGCAGCCTCTAAACTCTAACTGCTCAGGTGTTGCAGACAGCAAAAAACAAGGCAGATGCTAAAAACTGAGAGCTCAAAATCACAGAGCGACTAAAAATGACAGTCAGTTTTTCAGTCCTCAGCTCCAGGTCTCATTTCCTCAACCCACTGCTTTGCTTGCAGAGATGCAACTAAATGCCTGAGGCCCAGGCCATGGGGTACAGTGGGTTAAAATAATGAAAAAAAAAGATCCCAGAAAGCTATGGAAATCCTTTAGCCCTCAACCTATGTTTCTTTTCCACATGGAGGGCTGGCTGTGGTCAGGACGTGTCCGCCCAGGACCGCCAGCAGCCCCTCCAGGGCAGGCAGGTGGTTTGCGATCACCTCCCACCGCAGCCGGGAGGATCCACCTCAGCTCCAAGGGGCTGAGCCCGGTTCTCTCCGGAGCACGAAGCCCTTCTCTGCTGTATGACGTCGGATGCCACCCGGCAACAGGAGAGGAGGTTTCCATGACAGCACAAACACGAGAAGGACAAAAGCGCCAATGGAGCCGGACGCGCAGAGCGGCCACGGCCCCTCACCGAGCGGGCCGTGTCCCACCAAGGCGGGCAGCGGAGAGGAGCACGGGGAGGTCTCCTTTGGGTGAGAAGCCAAAACAAAATATAAAGGGATAAGGGAATACTGCAGCAATTTCTTCTCTGTTTTCAACACTGAACAGGACTTTTTATTAAGATAAGCGAGGAACTGATGTGTTTCACTAGGAAATCACACGCACTAATGATTTACTTCTCCATGTGTGAGTGTGCGTGTCTGGAAATCGGACACATCTGTCCCTAGAATAATTGCACCATAGATCAAAACTTGGAACGATTTCCTCGTGAGCGTAATGAGACTTCTCTGCAGATTATGGTACTGCTTAAATTATTTCAGTGTATAAAACATATGCTTGTTCAGTGCTCTGGGAACATGGAGATGGATTTTATTATATTATGCTAAGAATTGTTTGCATGTTTGTTTAGCTTTTTTTTTTTCTGCACAGCAGCTTGATGCTAGCAAAAACATTGGATAAATATATCAGTAATTAAAACCATGAATGCCTTATCTATTCATTCACATACTACTGGCCATCAGCATGTAGCTACTGAGACATAAAAATGTCAGAAGCAGTGAAATATATACCAAATGATTCTAGCAAGAAGGCTATTTTTTATCTGCATTATAGCTATATATGCTATGTATACTTTATAGCTATAGTTAGCACAACAGGTGCATCTGTAGCTTTCGGCATTATATCCAAAAAGTGCAAACAAGCTATTAAAAACAAAATCTCAAACCAAAAATACCTTAACAAAAGACTCCTTTTCTAAGCTAGAACTCAGATATTCCCCAGTTTTGAAGATTTTTGTTATTAACCGCTCAGTGGTTAAGTTTCAGAAAGGCCACAGGCTGACCACTTCTGTAAAACCTACTGCATCACCTATTGGCAAGGCCCTAATTTACTGATTTGTTTATGGTTTTCTTTAGGGCAGGGCCAAAGACATCATCACCTACCAAGTCAAGCTCTGAAAGCCTCTCTCCGCCTCCTGGAACCGCCGGTGAAACACAGCCTGTGCTGCCAGGTAACGTCCCGATGCTCGTGCAGCTCTTTGCTCTCAGTTCAAAGGGGAGGCCTCTGTTCATGCTCCTCTGCCCCCGATCAGATGAGACAGTCCCCAAGAGTTTCCATACAACTTCTGCCTGAGGAAAACAGTGAATGAAGGCTTCAGTAAGTGAAGCTAGGGAAGGGGAAGAGATACTGTAAGAGAACACAAGTCTTGGGCCTGCCTTCAATGGCTTCTCAGAGCAGATGCTCACCACGGACTGACCAAAACTCCTAGCACGGCCAAGACTCCTTACCAAGTTTTCCTTGTTTTCTTGGGTGCCTAAGGTACCTCAGGCTTTGACAACTGATTCAGATTACTTACATTATTAAGAATGGATTGTGCGTTATACTTTTGTTATTGCCTCTCCTGAGAGCTAGATACCTACCAAGAGCTAGAGGAGGTCCAGACAGTTGACACCTGGTATATTGGGGCTTCTGCTGTTGGAGACTGAGTTTGTTAAATGTTATGAAAAGTCAGCAGTCAGCTGTCATGAACCAGACACATATTCAGCTTGAGTTAGCAGCAGGCTGTCAGTTTGTAGAAGCACTGCCTGCATAGTTAGGGGGCTGGAAGGGTATAGAAGAATAACAGCCATACATACCTACGTATACCAGTTTAAACAGCTGCTGCCATATGGAAGATGAACAAGAAAACATTAAAGGCAGACAGCACCCTAGACAGAAAAAAATATCTTTTTGTGACCCAGTAAGAGCTAGGGAGCAATGACTATAGCATGACACTTTTGGAGGTGCTACAGGTCACAGCAGGATCTCATTTCCTCAAGGCATGGAGCGGTGGTTCTTAGCATCTAAAAGACAGACAGTATTGCTGCTCCTGAGAGACCAGTAATTAACCATGGTGTCATCTTTTGTGTTCAAACCCACTATTTCAGGAGAGCCAACTTCCCTCTCTCCTCTCAGCTGAGACTTGCATGAGCAATAAAAGACAAACTACCTTATTGAACTTAACATGCAGAAGTCTCGACCTCAGAGTCCTCTGTTGTGGCTGCCTGGTGAGAGCTCTCTTGCCAGCACTCCAGCTGGTCCTAGATCCTTTTATATCCTGGACCTGTCCCTGGTAAAACAGCTCCAGACTGGTAAAATCCCAGGTTAAAATCCTGAACTGATCATGGTAAAGTAACATAAGCAATACAGAGCTCTAGGTTATAGAGAACTCCTAGCATTTCTATAAGCCCTCTCCAGCTGCCCAGGCCTGATTTAGTGTAGCTGGACACCCACAGCCATGCCCACAGCTGGACACCCTCCAGGCATGACACTGAATGCAGCAGAATGAGGCTCCTTTGCACTGGGTGCTAACCGTCTGCTTTGCAGCTTCTACATTTTCATGGATTTCTTGCAGAAAGTTCAGAAGAGGATGAAGAAAATTCCAAGAAAAATCCATTTACGCTCCCTTCAGATATTGATATTTTCTCAATAAGGGACAAGGAAAGAGAAAAAGCTAAGAAGGTATGTATACAAACTTTAGACTAAAAGATATTTCACAGATTTTTACCCAGTAAAGCAGCCAATATAAATATTATCAAAAATTACTGCACAACAGTACCTAACACATTCAGCTGAGAATCCCCTAACTCAGCTACAAATCCACTGAGGTCCATCATGGGGTTTAACTTTACCAAGAGCAGATTGAAGCACAGGCTTGCAAAATCTGCATTTTCACTGTATTTTTTTCTTCTTACTGAAAGGTAGATTTACCACACTCTCTGCAGGAGATGCCTGCGAGTGCTATTGTTATTTATAACCACAGGTGCTTTGGTGCAAGACCTCTTGCTCTCCAGTTCAGCAGAGTTGCCTTTCTGCTTGGAAAGCTGCAGTCTAACGATTGATGCCACCTTCTCCTGAACTACCAGCTACACAAATGCTTAGGAAGAAGGACTAAATCTGTTTCATGCCTTAGATATCTATTCCCAAGATATAGCAACCCACCAGACCAGAGAGCTGGGTCTGTGGAATATCTTTTTCTTCTTTATCCCCCTAGAGGACTTTTCTTTGGGTGTGTGATGCAAAGGGCAGAGCACAGTTCTCTGAGCACTGAGGGGTCTGAGTACTGCACACAGCTGCAAAAGGCAGGCAGGAGCATGGAAGAGGCCTCCATTTCCAAATCACAAAGGCAAGGAGTACAAACACACTCAGGAAAGCCTCCTCGCCTCACATACTGATGACTGATAGTCTGCTTGGGGTCAAAGTCACCAAAAGAGCATGAGGAAGAGCTCAGAAAGAAAGTGTGCTAAACACGACTGCTGAGCGATTTCCTCAGTCTACCCCATGTCCAAATTGTGGTGACTGGACGCAGAATAGCAACAAATGTAAACAAACACTAAGAAAAGAGAGGAAGTGTTTTGGTTGCAATGAGAGAAGGCATCACCAGGATTAGTCAGGTAAAACCAAGCAAATAAGCTTTAGTGAGATACCAGAAGCTTGCACATTTCTAGACTCTGAATAAACTATTTGTGACATTCAAAACCACAGGAGATGAAGCATACAACCTACTCACATTACTGACATCTCTTCATAGGAACGTGAAAGGAGGAAGACCATGAAAATATATGAGAAAATGACCTACTCCACTCAGATAAATGTAAGACAAAATGTGTTCAGGAAAATGCTGCAGAAAGAGGAAGAAGAAGAGGATAGAAAACAGGCAACAGAAACAGACAGACTGAAAGCTTTTCAGGATAGTGTTTCTTGGAAGACAGCCCTTACTAAAGGTAGGGAACACTAACTATCTTTGTAGTGCTGCTTGACTGGAAGCTAGATATTCACCATCCAGATAGTTCTGGCCAACTTCATGGGGCCTCCTAGGCCTCCAAAGTATCTGGGCTTTCATGGAGTTGGGTGTCAGCTGGGAGGCAGAACAGAAGTTGCCCTAGAGTTTGCAGGACTGTGTCATAGAGGTATTTACAATAAGCTGACCTAAAGTTGGATTTTAGCACACACAGGGCTAAAACCTCTGCCTTTGAAATGAGGAGAAACTTTACCAAAGCCCACGCAAAATTGATCCAAACCAGTGTCACAATGGTATAGCCTGCTTAGGACCACTGGCCCCAGTGTCAACCACATCCAAATTCATGAAGGCCTCCATATTCAATGTGTTTTGCTTTGACCATGTTTCTCTGAGCAACTTTATATTCTCATTACAGATCAGCATTTAGAAAGAGAGAGCTATCGTGACTACGTAAACAACAGGAGACAGATATTTTTGCTTGAGGTACTTGGCTTTCTTTAAGAGTGCTGCTTTCTGTTTAATTCTGTATTGCTTTGCTTCTTCACAACAGCTGTTGCCTAGAGGTTACACCAGGGAGGTCTCATGAAATCAGACCTCATGAGCTGGTGGTCCGAGTCCTGCATCAAAGAGCCTCATAGCCCATGGCCCACCAAAAAGAGGTGAAACTAAGTCATTTGCTACACCCGTAGCAGCCCTCCAACTATTTCCACTTCATTTGTGGGACCCGGAGAAATATTGACATCTTGGCCCTTACTTTCTCATATATAGATTATACCTGGAGTCATTCTGAAGCCAAAATAAGGGATCCCTCTTGGCATATCCCCATTATTCACCTCTATTGTAGCACTTTTGTGCTATAGCACAACTGAATCAACCATTATCCTTCAGGATTTAAGGCAGTGCTGGAATTCCTGGATTTTGTCTTTAGTTTCACTGCTAATTTCCTATATTACTTCAAAAATATCTCCTGGCCTCTACCTACCTACCATGTACCAAGATCCTGGTTTGAAATCTTCATACGCTCTGACAAAAACTATAACCAAGAACAAAGTTAAACCAGAATAACATTAGAACAAGTCAACCAACCAATGTGTCTGTCTTGCTTTTTGGATTCATTTCAGTATACCATGGCAGTAAAGAGAGATGAGATTCAGAGGCTGGAGAACTTAGCAAAGACAGAGGAAAGAAAACTGGAAAAGGCTGAAGACCACCTGGAAAAGGATGCTGTCATGTTTGATGAGTTCCTGAAGGAGAACGACAAAATATCTGTTCAAGCTCTGAAAATGTAATGGAAACTGAGGGAACCACTCGCATGTTCTTTTGCATTAGATTCTTTTTGCTCTCTCTCCCTGGAGGTTTAGTATTCACTCAGGAAAGCTCTGTATCCTGGCTTTTCCGTAGGGAGGCTGTGACTTGCAAGTGTCACCGGGACCTCACACCCTCTTTGCTAACAGGGCCTTCACATAGGAGCCGGGTAGCATCTGTGGTGCATCTTCATGCATAAGACAGATTTCTGGAGTTCTTCCCACATCTTTCCCTCTATTTTACATGCATACTCTATTTTACACACAGTTCACTACTCAGCAATTGCTGGCTTATTTTATAGCTTATGTTTATGCCTTCTTCCCTAGTGCTGAAAAAGAAACGGCAGCAAAGACAGAGAAAATAATGGAGATCCAAGCGATTACTTCCCAAATAATGAACCTTGAAAGGTAATGTTTGCACACTGAATACTTTTACTACCTAACGTTTAGCAGTCTGTATAGCATTATGCTTGCATTTCTCAGTGGGAAAAAGAAATCCTAAAACAGTGTTCCAAAAATATTCCATTTTAAAAGCATCAGGATGTTTCAGCTTCTGTTTTCCAGATACTGGTTTTGTTTATAAAATAACCTAATTTGTTAATTGCATTTTTAAAAAGTGCAACTAAACCAAGACCAAAATTAAATGTTTAGTTTCAGAGTAGAAGGCAAACAAAAATTAATTGTGCATTTTAATGACGACCTGAAATGTACATCCCTACTCCCAAAAAGCAATTCTTGTTGAAAGTAAAGTTGGAAAGATTTCTCAGTTCATGGTTGGCACTAAAGTCATGAAACATAGCTTGAGGTTTGATTCACGGACAGAAAAATGAATTTTTTCTGATGATACCATGACCATTCAGTAATAAATACAGTGTGTGGGGAACAGATAGTCTTTCCTGAAGAGATGAATATGCACCTGAAAGAGTGACCACCTATCAGCTGAGATACAATAACTGATCACGTGCACATTCCTACCCCCTCTGAAGTAAAATGCAGTTGTTTAGCAAAGGAACTTGACATCCTTGATGTCTGCTCAGGCTGAAATCAGACTCAGGTCCCTTTGGGCTCATTTCTTCTACATCAATAGTGGCACGAGCCGTATTAGTCCCCTGGGGATACCCGAGGAGCGCAGGGGTCTCTGATGGCTTCCCAAAGGTGCAGGGGCTGAAGTTTGGCTGGGACATGAGAGCTAACAGAAGCACTTCTCTGCTGAACACCCTTCTTTGCCTCCTCAGCTCAGTGTCATGAGCTGACACTATGAGAATCCCACTCCATCGCTGTTTTCCAGCATGGCAAAGCAGCAGATTCGCTCATTCTTAGGTGACTCAGTGGTTAGCCCAGAGCCACAGCGAGAGTCTGGTCATAGTGATGTGACCAAGCTCCTTCTATATCAGGGAGCACAGAAAGCAAGTAGGGCAGGTTCACGGTTGTCTTTGCACATCCATGTGGACACGTCCCTTCTTCAGGAGTCAGAGAGAGTCAGGAAGAACTTGCTCACGTTTTCCACCCCGTTAACAAACTTTGCATGGCTTGTCCACTTCTCTCACCTCAGTGATATATCCAAATTTGAGGATACTTTGCAGGAGTACAAGAGGTACAGGGACTTCCTCTATCAGTTGTCTCCAAAAGAGTGGCAGGAAGAATATGCAAAAAGGCACACAAAGGAACAAGAATTGAGAAAAACTTCTAGAAGTAAGGAAGAAAGTACCTCTCGTCGCGCCACTGTGGAGAAGGGTAAGTGCCAGGGAAGAGATTCCCACTCCCTTTTGTCCCTTCTGTCCAGGCCAGGATCTGACCTTCAGGACAAAAGCTGCTGATCTATCCAAAACCAGCTATTTAGATGTGCAAAGCTCTCTGTCTTCTGGAAGTTCGGATTTCAGGTTATTATGTGAGGTCGGGTCAGAGTTCAAAGACATTCTGAAGCCTCTATCAACAGATAAATTGTAAGTACAAGACAAGGAGAACACGGGTATTATAGAGAGCACGTGGTTGAACGGGGGCAGTATAGAGGAAACCTCCTCCTCACCTTCCTGGCGAGCTGTCTGCTGGTTTGCTGCGAGTGAAGGCCCAGGGTCACTGTAGACCAGCATTGCATTGATTCTCTGCTTTCAGTAACAGAGGCTTCAGCCATAAGCAGAGCCAGGCAGAGAGGTGGATGGGCAGGTGGGCGTATGAAGCAAGTGTTGCCAGCTCCAGTGTTTTGAGGCAAAGCGAGCAATTGCCTGGAACAACAAAGTGTGGGTGGCTGATGATCATACATCTCCTAAGACCAAAATTCCATGGTTAACATGAGATTTTGAATTAAGCCATTGCTTGCAGGACCATTCCCTCTGCTTCTCTTTGGAGCCTTGTGGGCACAAGTGAGGCTGGAGCTAGGGTGGTGCGAGCAGAGAGTTTTCACCCTTCGGGGGACAGGAGGGCAACATGATGAGCAGTGTCTGACCAGGCAGGTGCCTCTTCCCTTGCACCGGCACCGACTTGTCCCAGGGCTGAGCAGGGAAGAGGCTGCACTGCTGGTTAACACCAGCAGACAAGGCAGAGGAAGGAGCCATCAATCTTTTTTTCCACTATGTGGGTAAAGGCTGCAGACTGCCATGGTGGCCATAGCATGCCACGTAGGAGCAGTAACATATCCCATAGGGAGAGCAAGACTTTGCTCCTCCCAAGGAGGACCCAGACTTGCAAATATTCAAAGGATCATTCAGGAGCAAATGGCCAATGCACAACAGAAAGGGAGGCTGCTGCCTACCTGGAACTGAGTCTAGATGTTGCTTGCAGATGTCAGCCTGGCTCTTTGCTGTGTTTTAAATGCTCTAACAAGCTCTGCTTTGAGCTATCGTTTCTCTAAGGACCTGACACACAGAATGCCTTTTCAGAAGTTTAGTGGAGTATCAAGAGAGTGAAACCTGCTCGGACGAGGAGGATGAGGTCAGACATCTCATACTGAAATACTTACACGTTGTTTGTCCTCCCTTAGGCATTTATTGATATTACTAATTTATTTCACCTTCTAAAAATTCATTATGAGATTGAGGAGTTACTGTAGCCATTAGTTATAAATGTATGTTTAGTCAAATGCAGCCATAAACATTTATGTTTTTAGCAGTATTATAAATATCTTGAATTAACTTACTTTCTCCACTTTCCAAAAACCTACCATCACCTCAAAGCTTGCAACCTTCCAACAAGATATGACATGACATAACAAGAGGTTTTACGATTTGAAAGTTATCATCTTATGCCCAAAATTGAAGTTTTCCAAGAACAACAGCATTCTTTTTTCATTTATAATACAAAAATGTGTTTTGTTGAGCTCTAAAAACAACATAAAACAACAACAACAAAAATTATTATAGGTGGTCTCTGTCATACTTCGAGTGTCAGTCCAACATAAACATCACAGGTTCCAGCTCAAAGTAAACAAAATGAAATTGGAGCTGAGGGCAAATACTTATCTGAAATGCAGCAAACTGGATCGCAAAAATCCTAGTCCCCATCAGTATTCTAAAATAATTATTTTTAAACATTTTTTCACCCAAGAGAGCCCACTTACCTCTATCCTTATTCAAACAAACATGAATTTAAAAATAAAATTTAAAAAATAATAATTTGAGAGATATTTAAAGCCAACATTTTCACATGCATCTTTTTTGCAACTCATGGAAATAGCTGATCTTGCACAAACAACCATCCAGCTATCAAATTAGCTATTTATGCTACTTTCTTAGTAGCAGATTTTTTTCTTTTCTAGTCTGTTACTTTCTTGGTCTCATCACAGCTGCTAACAACATGGGAGCAAAAAGATGTTTCGGGAAAAAGGGACGGATTGACCAAAGCTTCCCCTGAGGGAGGCTGGGAGCAAGAAACATGGAGAGCAGGCAGGTATGACAGGGTCCTACCAGGTCTGGTAACACTGCACGGACTTGGAGCCATCTCAGCTAATGCTTCGTTTTTCTTGAGGTATTTGACTGCTTCTTGACATCAATGCAGCAAAGACCAAGCAAAATAACAAGGTGCTGACTCTGCCCTGCCCGCCCTCAGCTTCCTCTCTTAACTCTAGCCACCTGTAAGGGTTTCCCCCTCATTCCTCACACCGGCACCTCAGGGATGTTCTCTGGACACCTGAACCCCAGTGCCCAGTCCCACTTCCCAGCTGCCTCTAACAGCACCAGGGTCTGAGCTTTCATCTACCTCCTCACAGCACCTTGTTCCGAAGCTGCTGGGGCTTTTCTCAAGCCTCCCAGGCCTTTCTGTCCAAAAGTCAGCATCCCATGAATGTGCCTACCCAAAGGCTCAGCTCCGAATCCCAGCATTTGCACCAGTTTTTACTCCCTGAAAGGCATTTTACTGGTGCAGATACTTGAGGCAAGGCACTCTGCATGAAGTAGAGAGAGGGTTTTTACAGGGACAAGGACCACCAGGTACCCAAGAATCTGGGAGAACATTTGAATAACCAGGACTGATCTTGCTTCAGTTTCACCCCCATTCCAAACTATCTTTACTGACTTAAGGCAAAAGTCTCTGCTGTTTTAGCATCAGCTGAGTTTAAGTGGAAATCACCCTCTCAATTAAGCCAAACAATAAAACACACAGACTTTTTATGGGCATTGCCTCTCTTTTAGGGTAAGTCTTACCTCCTGCTTCTCTTGGATTTACCATAATGGCTGCAGACCACAAAGCACATTATCCTTGTCCATAAAAAGTTGAGACTCAGAGACAGGCCTGCTCCTAGGAGAAAAAAAAAAAAGAAAAAATAATCACCTTTCTGTACCCAAGGCCGCTCCTCCCCACACTGCTGTAAGACACCAGAAAGCCATTCTGAGGAAGGATGATTTTTTCCAAAGACAAATGAGGAAAATTTCTCAACTTCTCAGTTCCTTGGAGCGAACCAGCCGTACACAAACAGCACAATATTTAGGCAAGTCTGTGAAAAAAAAAATAACTTTTTCAAGGGGGTTGGAAAAAAACAGGTGAGTTTTAGGACATCTTCAGATCTCAAATCAAGACATTAAAATCTGCACAAACTCAGGGCAATTCCTCTGAGTTTGCCAAGATATGTGAAACTAGATGATCAGAGAAAGCATAGTAAGTATCAGGAGTGGAAGGGCCTTCCCTCCCTCGCATCCTTAGGGCAACACAGCTGCTACACTACCTCTGTACTCACAAATGGATACAATGATCTACACCATCCATGCATAACTGGGATGCATAATTCTCCCGTTAGCCCATATAGTCCTTAGCCTTCCTCTCTTCCCCTTCTTAACCATCCTTTTCTGTTGCTGAACCAAACCACATCTTTTCTTTACAGTGCGAGCTCTTTGGAATACATACAAATTCTCACCCTCATGCTGTCATTGCTATCATGAAGGCTATAAATTTAGGGTTTTTTTTTAAAAAAAAGAAAGCTATATATATGTGTATATATATAATGCACCAGCAGAAGATACCGGTGTAGACCAACCTCCATGTAGCTCACTGGATAAGAGGCTAGAACAGACTCATCACATGTTTTTCACTCCAGGAGCTGGAATTGTATTTTACTGACCCCCAGCAACTGCTGTCTATTTTCACGGAGCTGGAGGAACAGAACTTATCCCTCATTCAGAATTCCCAAGATGTTGAGGAAACTCTGGATGAGCTCCGACACACTTTAATCAGCACATGTAACAGGATGTAAGTCTGATTCTGCAATTCGGTAAGTGATGGAAAGGGGACCCTTGTGACAAATCCTTAGAACACAAGTGATCCCTCCTCAAGCTGCACGTCGCCATGGGGCTACGCTGCAGACCACGCATGATGGTCTGCTCAGTGTGGACTCTTCCTAGTGGAAGCCAGCAGGAAATCCAAATGCAATTGCAATATAGTTTTTCATACAGTATTTCAATAAAGTGCAGTTAAACTACTTGTGATTTTTTCTTAAGTATAATCTACCTTTTGCATTAGTTGAAAAAAATGTGAATACTATTTAGCTACACTGCTTCTAGCTCAGAAAAGTCAGAAGCTCCTTCTGCTCCAAGGCATAGGTGCGCGTTCCCAAAAGGGGCACGAGGTGCTACCTCCATCTGCCGGCAGCCAGAGGGACGGTCCCCGGCCGTACGGTAGCGAGGAGCCCTGTGTTTCAGGGATGCCCTTTCCAAATCCATGCCTGCCTTCTTCCCTGGGCTAGGGACCAGGAGATAGAGCAGCTGAAACAGCTTGCAGCCACCGTCAAATGCTCCATTGCCAAAGAGGAGGAGACCGCAGCAGATCTGAAGCTCCGAGTTCGCCTCTTTTCCTTCGGAGAATACCAAGCCGATGTCCAGGTAGGCCCTGCACAGCAGGGAAAGGGGTCGGCGCGGGAATAAAATGCCCTGTTCTTGTCCACCGGCCAAATCCAGCCTGGGAAGGGAGTGCACAGCCGGGTGCAGCATGAGGGTTGAGTCCTCCTGAGCACCAGGGAGGCAGCAAGGGCCGGTTAGAGGCGTTGCTAAAGCAGCAGGTTGGGACGAGCACGTCCAGTCCTCGCTGCTGCTGGGAGTAGGGTCTGCAGAGGATTGCAGCAGTCTGTCCATTCCCCACAGCTGTCTATTCCAAGCATCAGGGCTAAGCAAACCAGAAAACAAGCCTATCATCTTGTTGGAGGCGATGGAAATATATTATTCCTGTTTTCCTTTAGACACACTGATTTTGGGCAGAACCCGGCTGGTACCTCCTGGTTCTATCTCACTCTGCCTTCTCTTACTGTTAGGACAAAATGCTTGCGAACCTGAACAAAAAGGTGCTGGAAGTCTATCGCTGCTGCGTTGGAGAAAACGAGGCAAACCTAGGGACACTGCAGATGCTAGCAGTGATAGAGAAACAGCTGGACGAGTTACTGGAGTGCCTAGAGAGAATCCCGCCAGCAAAGATAGAGCAGGCTGAGAAAGCGAAAGAAAAAGAACGGAGGATAAGGTGAGACCTCCTCCAGAAATGAGCATCACTTTTTTAAGTGTTGACACCTAAAGGCAAAGCCACCAAAGGGGACCAATTTGCCAGATCAAACCGGGAAATAGCAACAGAAATATGACAGCTCACGTGCAACCAATACATCCCATTTCGCTCCTGTAAGGGCTTCATATTCATAGTACTTGCATGTCCTGATGAGGAAGCAGCAGCCCACAGTTGTACTAAAAAAGGCTTGGAAGGTACCTGTGTCCTAAATTGAAGGGCAAAATCTGGAAGGGAGATAAAGAAAGAAAAACAAACCTCTTGAACAAATTCAATAATGACAATTGTATTTTTAAGATGACAACTTGTAGTGACAATACTTAGCCTGATTAAGTAGAAAATTGCACCTGTATAATTATTTAACACATGAGCATCTGACACAGCCAGCTCTTCTGTCAGAAAAGACACTTGAAGGTATTTGTCAACAATGGCAGTTACTAAATGCTTGTTGCTATAGAACTCTGAAGTTTAACTTCTGCAATTAAATTTAAAAAGTAGCAAATGAATTCAAAAAATGGGGTTCTGTGGTCATACATTCCAGTTGGCTCAGTACATGAGAGTTCCCCATGCAAACAGTAAAGCTGCAACTGGACATCCCTAGCTGAATCAGGTCCATGTTGTGGAAAAAAAAAATAGTAGCATGAGGTTTTGAGTCAGATCTGTGACATTTCTTCTACTTGCTCTCTTTCTCTGTGTCCTTCTTCATCTTTTAGTAATAGGGGTGTGATACCTCCTCCTGATGTTCCATGGGTGGTTTTCCATTCTAACTTACAAAAGCAGACAGATATTTACCCTACACTGGGGATGGAGGGGAAGAATCGGGGAAGGAATGCAACATAACAAAGAAAGTACTGTGAAAACAACTTAATTTTTTTCTGGAGATCACAAGATCATATTTGTTCTTCCTAAAAGGCTCAGAGAGGAAAAGAAAAGACAACAGAAGCTGCTGCAGGAGGAAAGATTGCAACGGGCCCTGGCCAGAGCAC